TCGGCCTTGGCGATATATCGGTCGACCACTACTCATTTGTTGGATCTATGGAATCTGATACGACAATAACCATGATTTTTTTTTTTTCAATTTAATGTGTCCTTACTCAATAGTAAATGTCTTATTATATCAATACATTAAAAAGACATTGATATGGCTTATCAAGTGAAATTTAATGTGAGCCTATTTGGAAAATGGAAAGTAAGAATAATTTTAAAAGCCGATCCATGAGGCTGTTTTTTTTTTCTTTTTTCTTTTTTGTTTGTTTGTGTGTTACAGTGACAAAGCTCAAATCTAATTTCTGCAGTTCAGGTGTTGCTGTGTAATCATGTACTTTTAAATTGTAATACTCTGTACACTGTGTACTTGTTGTTGTAGTATTAGTGATATTTGTGAACAAAATCCAAGCATTTGGCCACCTGTTCCTGCCAGATAAACTTGTTTGGTCAACAGATGATGTTGTTCCTAGACAGTTCTCACAAAATTAAGCCATATAATCTCTTTCTGTATAGGACAAAAAGCCTGCCAAGACTAAGATTTTTATTGAGTTTTACCTTTCCACTGGGTGAAAACTGTAAAAATGTGAACACCACAACCTCATAATGTTTCATTGTTCCTTTCTGATTCACTTTCATTTTTTCTCTTTTTTGTCTCTCTTATTGTTAGTATCTTCTGAAACAGTGAAGTTTTGCCTGTCAGAATATTCTGAAGTCAGTACGGGTGGTCTGATCTCTTCAGGCTCTCTGTTGTCCACCTGCAAGCTCTGTTTCATCACTTCCTCCGTCTCTTCCCTTCTCCCAGCTGACTAGTGTAATTTAAGCTTATGTTGTGCCTTAAACGGAGGACAGAATGTGTGTAAAATACCTCTGAATTAGTTTAAGTAGTCAGATTATGCACATTTTACATGCAGATCTGGAACAGTCTTGCTCTCTGTCTCTCTCTTGCTCTTGCTATCTGATAACTGAACATGGTCATGACAGCAGTAGCAAGATTGGATAACTGCACAGACAAGGTTAGTAAGTGATTTTATTACATTAATCTCATGGTAATAAATATAATTACCATAATTATATGGTATAATTGTATACATAATTGTATAATGTCTTGCGGCTATACTTTTGAAAGTGTGTATTTTAACATTTATTCTGTGCAGTGCCTTTCTGTAAACAACATTCAATGTTTTGTTTTCACAAACTGATGAGTTGAAGATTTATTGGTAATTTTTTGTTGATGATAAAGTCAACATGAAACTGCATTCGCAGGCCATTTTACTTCCATAATGTGATGTATTTCTGTGTGAAAACGAAGATATTAAATGAGGAAAAAAGCAAGCTGAAATTAGATTTTATCCATTGGGAATTGATTTGATCACAAAAAGTCGTCTCGATAGGTGGTATTTAGGAAGTCTCGATAGGTGGTATAAGGAAGTATTTTAACAATTGCAGCAAAAATTTTTCTTAGGAATAACATGCACCATTAGGTTGTTTGGTTGTTTGTTTGGTCCACTGTTATTGCCTGGTATATTAAAAAGAAAATCTGATGAGATGCTTATGAAAGTGTATATGTGACCTTATGTGTTTGCAAGATCAGAGGAGCTATATTACTAAAAGGGCATTATTAGAGCAAAAGGATGATTCTCATGTCAGCTGAGATTATACACACACACACACACACATACACCACAATGTCTATGTTTTATGGGGACATTCCATTGGCGTAATGGTCTTTATACTGTACAAACTGTATTTTCTATCCCCTTACCCTAACCCTACCCCTAAACCTACCCCTCAAACAAAATTTTCTGCTATTTTAGATTTTCAAAAAAGATAATTCTGTATGATTTATAAGCTTTTTTCCCTAATGGGGACCAAAAAAAAATTAAAAATTGTCCCCACAAGGAAAAGATTTACTGGTATTACTATCCTTTTGGAAACATTTCTTCCCCGTAAGATAGTGAATACCAGGACACACACACAGGTTTGTTTGATGAGTAATATCATATAATGTAATATAATATACAACAATGTCAATGACAATGACAATGTCCGGAGAGTACAGTACTTCCATTGTTTTATATGTTTTAATTTTCTGTGTCCTAAACCTAACCTTCACAGAAACCTGTGCACAACATTATATTGAAATATAAGCATGATGACATGAGCATGAAGACACATAAAATGTCCTCACAAGTTGGTTGTTATAATATTTCACTATTTTAGTAAGGACATTTGACCCTCAAAGTATAGACAAACCTGTACACACACACACACACACACACACACACACACCAAATGACAAAGAAAAACAATAGTTTTAGTTTTATGTTTGTTTGTTTGTTTGATGCAGACATTCTGTGAGTGTGTGCCCAACTCCTCTCAACTTAAACATCGCTGGTCAGACTCGGACACAGTCAGACAAACACCGCCCAAGGTAAGGGCTTGAATATCTCACACCATTAAACTTAAAGCTTGACATATCATTAGTTCCTGGAACTACTGAATTGTATAAAATGGGTCCAAACGTCTGAGACCACATTGAAAGTCTGATTTAGAACAGACTTTCTAACAAAGTCTTTAAAACAAAGAAACAGCATGACACTAATAGCTGATAATATAATTTGTAATGCAAAAAAAAAAAAAATGCATTTTCACTTGTGTTTTCAGATTTTTCTGACCCCATTGTATCCTGTATGCCTCAGTAAACTGATGCATAGTTTTGTTCTTCAAAATTCAGCCTCTCTTCCTCTCTTCCGTGTAGTGTGGAACAAATATAAAATGGAGGATTGAATCTTGTCTGTGTAAAACTGATGGGCTCAAGGAAGAGATTTTACTATATTACACCTAGCGTTTGATATGTAAACCTTTCATGTCTGTCTTTTGGAATTGCATGTTTGTGATTGTACTGATAAGCAGTCAGTCAATATCAGACTCTCTTTCACACACACACATTTGGCTTATATTCAGCATTTCATCATATTCTTCCCTGTGTGTCAGCCCTCTTATGGATCTCATATCCACTGAAGTGTCGTTGCTTTCTGAATATTTTATGCAAAAACAGTTTTTTTGCAGAAATACCCTTCATCTGTCTGGGCGTTAAAATTAAAATTCAAGTGAATGCACCACTGTGTGGGAGAAAACAGACCTCTGTAGGGATTTCATGAACAGGACACTGATACACCACTGAATCACCATCATGAGGCTTCGAATTAATTCAGTCAGGAGTCAACAACGCTCATAGAAATGCTCAATGTAGCTTGTTTATGGTGTTGTTTGTGTTTAGAATAGTGTGTGCATGTGTCTGTGTGTGAGAGTTTTGGAGAAGGGACAAAGGGACAAAATCTTCACTCAATAAAATACAACAAGCAAAAATAGCTATCAATCTACTGAGGCACTGCTGGAGAGAATCAGCAATAGAACATGAAAAAGAAAGCAGTCACAATGACAGCTGATCTGCAGGGGAAATGGCTCTTACTGTAAAGTCTAACTATCAATACTGCTTTCAACCTTTTGAGAGTCTGCCGTATAAATCTGTTTTAGCAGTTTTTCATCTAGATGAAACGGCTGTTCAAAAAGAAGGTGTCCAAGGAGCATTACTTGATTTAGTTCAGTTGGATTACATGTAGAATTTAAGCTCATCAGTCATACCTGTTAAATAAAATAACATTTGTCCTTTAGTATGAACAGTTGGCTTGGATAAATATGAAGATATCAATTATATCAATTAATTATGATGTGTTTTATCTTATCATTCATGCTGGCATTGTACTTTATTTACTATATTTAAATAATTTAATAAGAATAATAATATACATATATAT